TTAATTTCTCTATCGAGTAAAAGTTATATCGCGATACATATCGTTATCGTTCTATCGCCCAGCTCTAGTTGTAAGATATTGTATTATTTAATTTGTTCAGTCTGTTATTGTTATTGTCTTGGAGCAACTGTAACCCACATAATTTCCTCAGGTATAATTAAAGTATTCTGACTCTGACCCCTGTTTCTGCCTGTAGTACTGACCGTTGTATGTGAAATATATGGAATGAAGACAAAGTTCCTAAAGCAAACACACTTGGTTGGTGCTAAGTGTGGTCCTGTTCCTTAGGTTGGGGTCATCCTGTAATCTCTTAAAAACTACTTCTACTGCTTTAGTGACTGGAAGACAAGTGAAGAGAGATGTAACATCATACGAGACCATTGTTTCATCTGCCTCCATGATGACATCGCTCACCCTTCTCAACAAAATCCAAGGTGTTCTGGATGTGGTGTTTAGAGCTGCCTACCAATGGGTTGAGGATCAAAACTAAAAACCTTGAGATGTTATAGGTGATCGAGTTGAGCATACAGACAATTGGTCTTAAAGGTACAAACTGTTTATTAGCAAGAGAAGCCTACAGAGAGTCTATGGTGCTCCTCTTGGGAAAGCAAATGTGTTTGACACAACAAAGCATTCAGACCAGATTCTTTGGTTGTGGTCTGAAGGGGTGTTGCACCAAGAACCTCCTTGGGATTGTTTTGGTCAATAGGAAATGGTTGCAGTTACCTGTTGTTTGCATGGAAGATGCTGATTTGTCCACAAATACTTACCATTTACTCTATGAGCTTAAGTACCCGGGCCTCCACCAGATATTCCTAGTCTGTTTTCCAGGTATATCTGGCATTCTTCCTAGCCTACTGACCCAATTCATCACTAGATAGTCATGAGTTGACAGCTCTTTCTCCTTATCCAAATGTCCAAAACAAATGACCTCAGATCAGATAATATATATTTTTTTAAAAACAGATCACTGAAATTTGGCATAAGGTGCTATGATACCAAGTACACCACTTTAGATTCAAACATGGTGTTTTTTATGGCCAACCCATACCTATGACGGAAGTCCAATAAAAAACAAACAAACACAACACCGGTTTATCAGGCTATTCCTCCCAAGCACACCTTTCCAGCTCCATATTTGCACACATGAGTGAAAAAATCTCTTGGGAGAACTATGAATTCCCCAGACAGACTAACTAAAGACTCAAAGAAGGCTGGGAATTCTGAACTATTGTTCTGGGCATGGACAGAGGTAATGTGGTGGTGGTCTTTAGCCAGGGACTTGTGAGTGTCCTCACACCCACCCAGCTACTCTCACCACAGGCCACTCCAGAAAATGATTACAGTCCAGCCATTCTCCACGAGTATGGTTCCAGAACCCTTACTATACACTGAGGTATATTTATTCGGTAGCACTCCATGTCCTGCACTTGCTCAGATTCCTTCCCCACCAGTGACGTGATGTTCCACATCCCCAAAAACGAATGTATTACTGAGGATACACAGGCCCAGGACTCCACGTTTGTCTACCACCCTGCCTAAGGAATCTATTGTAATCCAAATGTCAGAATTATTATGGAAGGTATTTCTAAATAAGGGGACCAGTCTGAATAGTCTGAATAGAAACACTAATTGTTCTTTTCATTTCTATCCTCTGTAAACCCAGTGGAATGGTAAAATAAAGTTCTTACAACTTACACTTCTTGTCATTACAAACATGATGGGAGTGGAAACTGGTGACATAATCACAACCTCTAACTTACTGGTTTGCATTACTGGACATTTCTGGTAAATGGGTTGGTTCTTATATAGCATTTTTCTACTCTACTGGAGCATTCCAAGCACTTTATAAAACATGTTTCTTTCACCCATTCATACCCATTAATACAAGCACTTTTTTCTCTGCTTTTTCTACCTAAATGCTATCTAACTTTTTTTGTTTGTTTTTTCTATCTAACATTCATACACATTTACAGTCCTGCTCTACCTCCTGAGCTGCAGCCACCCCAATGTATCACACAATCTTTCTGTTCCATGAATTTACATGTAAATAATTTAGCTGAAATATTTTCATGTCCCTAAACATGATTTTTATCTATCTGGTCATATGTACCAATTCCTATCTGGTGAATATTTTCCAATTTTAAAAGGCAATAAAGTCCACATTTTGACATTTTTTCCACGTTTTGACACAAGATTGTGCTACAAAATCAGTTGAAATGTACCAAACTGTAGGCAACGCTGAAATAAAGGAAAAGTGGTACCTGGGTATATGCAGTGTTGGTGCCATCTGTAGCCTGCACTGTCATGTTGTAGAAGGAGCACTGTTCAGCATCAAGAGGTTTGGCAATGATGATGGTGCCCACAGTCTTCGCTACATCAAACACACTGTCACTGTTCCCACCTGCACCACAGCACAAATGTCAAGCAAGAAAGGATGGCCAAAAAATGCAGCTCATACCTACTTTGAATGCACACGAGTTATGATGAATATGTGAATAAACACAAAAACCACACAATTTTATTTTGTGGATCAGTGGGTTCCAGTCATGTAAAACATGCGTATGCGTTACTGAGTCCTGAAATGCATGAATTGTTTTTTGGGGTTTTTTTGTACAATCCTAATCAGTAAATTAACCAGTGCAGTGTTGGGATAAGGGCAGAGAACATGACTAGAGACCATTGCCTAAGAGTTTGTGATAGTGCAAAGGAGGAAAGGATGGCTGCTGACAGGTTTAAGCTCTTCCATCACACACAAACACACATCACAAACTCCTATACACCACAGATTACATATAATAATATATAATATACAGCATATGCTATAAGATGCCAATATGAAGCAAATATCACAGTAACACACTAAAGCAACAAGCAAAAACACTTTCCATGCTGGTAGTACCCCTCCCTTTTGCTTAGAGTGTGCTGCAGTTTGAGTGTGTTATTGCAAAAATTTCTCATCTATTTTTGTTTTTGGCTATTTTTCCTAGTTTTTGTTTGCTTTGTGAAGTTGGTGGACTAGGGTGTTGGGAAATGGGGGCAGCTGACTAGCAATCATGCCATGAAGCTGGTTCTAGCTGTCAGCTGCTCAGTGGGGGATTATAACGCGCCTGTGGGTGAGTTGGTTGGGTATGGAGGTATGGAATCAATCTCCCAAATGACTAATGCAGTGGCAATGTTTCTGGACAGCACAAATTGTATCAAGTTGTTGACAGCGGTGGAGTGATTAAAGACACCCTCACTCCTGTTCTCTCTCTGGTTAATCCTATTTTGTCACCATCCTGCTCCACCTTTCATCAAGAATGAAGTGTTAGAGGAAGAGTTATCTAGTCTCCTTTAAACTATTTAACTATTTTACCACAAAGAGATAAATAGCGTAATTAAAATTATTGATGTTACATCAAAAGGAAGATCTCACTCAGTCTGGGGAGAGTGAGGGAGATGGCAGTGGCACTGCTGTCACATTTTCTTGCCTCGGTGGCAAAAAGACTTGCAGAGTAGCTGGATTCTAAGGAAGGTTTGCTAGCCCTCAGGCCATCCCTCCATTCTGCAAATCGCCAGATTAAAATATAAGAAATGACACAAATAACAATCAAAGTGCAATCAAAAGAGAGAAAAAGATGAAGGGGATGGACTGACAGTGAACATGTAGAGAAAGGTGAACAGTATTAATTAATATTATATTAAATGCTCATAATTTGCTGACAGATGTATTTATTTTATTCTTATTTTTAATAATTATGATGTGTATTGAATAACCCTCAGCTTTGTTTGCTTGTTGCATATTGTCTCTTTTACCCCAGGAAGGGGTTAAATGAGAATGAAAAATAGAGTAAAAAAAAAAGTAAAGTGAGAACAATAGCAAGCCGGTGGTGAATGGGTGAATGTAGGTATCAAGAGGCTAAGCAAAAGACCAGTGGGGGAAAAAAGGAATGGAGAGATGCAGGTATAACAAAGAAACAAATGGGACAGAGTAGCTGAATCTGTGTGTGTGTGTGTGTGTGTGTG